GAACCGAGATAATTCGTCTCAAAATTTTGAAGTTAGGGTGGTAATTTCACCCTTCTATTACGGGGGCCCTTTTATTACAAGCGGCCCTTCTATTTTTCCAAGCCACTCTTGGAAAGCCTTTCTATTAGGATGGCTCTTCTATTAAAGGGGCCCTTCTAATACAGGTTTTACGCTATTTTAATCTTCAAAATTTCAGTTGATGTTTTTTGTTTACTCCTTTATGACCAGAAAAGGTTTTTTTTACAGTAAGACTTTTTTAGAAACTGACGTGTTTGTTTATTTGGAAGGTGTTTTTCTGAGCTCTGATCAAGGTACTCGACTATATAAATACAGGGTTTTCAGAAAGAGAAGTCATCATTGAGTTTTACAGTTCATTATTTTTGTTCTCCTTTTTTTTGTGAATTTTTTTATATTTTGTTTTCCAGAAGCTAACAAACCCAATTTCAAAAAAATGGATCGTATGAACAAAATGGACAACAAGGACTTTGACATCGATCACGACCCAAAAATGGACAAATTCCGTGTGGACCGTAAACCTGAGCAATTGGATACCCATTTCGGAAGATTTGACGATTTGAAGAAGGATATGCCAAGAATGCAACAAGAAGGAAAATGTTGTGAGAAGAAAAAGGACATGTGCTGTGATGAGGAACCGATGGACAAGAGAAGAGAATCGGATGTCAGAAATAAGGAAATGTGAACAGACTCTATGGATCCTGAATTTATCGCCCAGCAGTTTTTATTGTAAATTAATTGTATTTCATAAGTTTTGTATATTTCTCTATAAATTAATTTTTGTATTTGAATAAACTCAGATATAACCGAATTGGATGTCTTTTTGAAAATGCTATAAACAATAGAATAACTGTTTGAACCAATTTATCTCAATTCCTATGCAAGATATCAAAAAGCAGTCAACAGTTAAAATATTGGCGATATTAAGATAAACATTTTGTTAGTTTACCACTTTTTGATATGTTTTACGGAAAATGAGATAAATGAGCTCAAAGTTAAAAATTGGGAGAATCATTCTATTCCATTCCAAACTCCTTGAGTTTAGAGAATGGAATAAAAGGTCAGCGTAGGCAGATAGTTTTCTAAAATTGGAAGTTCAACATTTTTTTAAAAAGTTGTCAGACACATAAAAGGTCTATTTTTGAATAGTATATTCTGAGATTTTCAGATTAATTCAAAAGTTGTTACCAAAATTTTCGAACTCTTAAAATTGACTGATATACGTATTAAAGATCATAAATTAGATTTTCTTGCGTGGTACCGTACCATTGGTACGTTACATGTTTTCTCATTTGAGAAGTGGAATGTTTCCTTATCATTCAAATTTTAAAATTCGAATTGACCGAAATTTTTCCATCCTTTTGATTACATACCGTTAAACCTGCAATAGAAGGGCCCTACCTACATTGGAATTTTTATGAAATCTCTGGTTTTGCAATGTTCGGAACGTTCTATTTGTGAAGTCTGGATTTTCCCTTTTTCAGTTCTTTTTTGAAAGCCTGTAATAGAAGGGCCCCCTCATTTTTAACTTTGAGCTAATTTATCTCTGCTCCTGTCTAAAATATCAAAAAATTGCCAACTGATAAAATGTTTAACGTTTTATTAGTTGACAAAATTTTCATACCTCTCATCGGAATCAAGAAAAAATAGCTCAAACAAGGTCTTCTATTACAGGCTTTAACTTGCTCGGATTTTTTTCATCGTTTTGAAAACTGGTTTTAAAATTTTGTAAATATTTTAAATACCTTTTTTTAACATTTCTAAAGATCTGAAATTAATCCTGAAACTGTCGTCATTCCATTTATGCATGACCTACATGTTTAAAAACATACAAAACAACTTTTCGGACTTTTGACTCATTCAAAAAAAACAAGAATGAAACTGTAAACACACGACTTGTAAAAATCAGGAGACAAGAAAATCTGACATCAATTTCTTGTTTTTTGTTTGTTTGGCAAACGCGCTCTGATGATCACAAGACATTAAAAATGTATATAATCCAGGGAAAGATACAAGCAATCATTTAGTTTTTTGAAAGTTAGCTTCTTCTTTTTTCTTTTTTTTAGTGATGTATTTCCTTTGAACTCAATTATTTTGATTCCTGGGAAAGATATCAAATATTGTGAATTAATAAAATGTTTGTGATACTACGATAAACATTTTTTCAGTTGACAAGTTTTTGATATCTTTCACAGGAATCGAGATAATTGAGCTCGAAGTTTACAGTGTGGGTGCGCTCTATCTCAATTCTTTTTTTTTTCAGAATCTAACGTCAAAAATGGATCGTATGAACAAAATGGACAAGAAGGATATTGATATGGAGCATGTCAAAAAGGACAAATCTGGTCAGGAGCCTCCAAATTATGCCAATATCCACGAGAAATTTGATGAAATGAGACATGATGTGGATAGAATGTTGAATGAAGGAGGATGTGGAGAGAGGAATAAGAAGGACATGGATCATGAGGATCATGATGAGGAGTCGATGGATAAGAGAAGAGAATCTGATGTCAGAAATAAGGAAATGTGAACGCAAACCATGGATCCTGAATACATTGCTCAGCAGTTTTTATTTTAAATTTATTATTCTATTGTATCTTTGTAAATACAATTGTGTCTTAAAATAAGGTCATATATAATAAGCGTTTTGAATGAATTTGTAATAAAAAATGCTATTTGAGAATTGTCGAATTTAGGGAAAGTAAGATTCTGAGAGAGCCTAGAAACTCTTTTCGGAGATTTCGAAAACATTTTTCGAATCATGAAATGTTTCTAATACATAGAACATGCCCTTTTAATAGAGTTCATTCTTATCTTTAACCCTGCCCGAGAGAGGACAGGGTCTCCAAAAATTGTACATCGGGTCTTGTGAAAGGCCCTGTACTCAAGTATTTAATGAATTATTAGTGGGAGAAGGAGGGTCACTCTGCACATGTACCGACATCTCGCGGGTTCCGCGCGTCACTATGCATTAGTGGGCGGAGCATAGTTGGTACCCCTTGTCTGAGATTCTGAGATTCTAAGATTCTAAGATTCTAAGATTCTAAGATTTTAAGCTTCTAAGATTTTAAGATTCTAAGATTCTAAAATTTTAAGATTCTAATTGTAAGATTCTGAAATTTTTTATTCTGAAATTCTGAAATTCTGACCTTTCGAGATTCTGAAATTCTGCAATTTTAGGATTCTTTTTGTCTCCCAATTTTCATATTTACTTTCGCGACCTATTTTTTTCGTCTCCTTCTCTATTTCCTATTTTTTCTTGTTTACCAAAAAAAGTGGATGACGATTTTCAGTGGGTAATTTTTGAGACCTCCATTTTTTGTTATTGTGTTTTTTGAGACTTAAAAATGTGTTGTTTTGGTTAAAGTCTAGCGTATAAAGCAGCTAGATGTCTGAGCTTTTTCATCAGTTTTGACTTCCTTTTTTTTGGCTTTTCGAATTCCAATTTTTTGTTCCAGAACTACAATACCGAAAATGAACCGAATGAGCAAAATGGAGGATCTTCGTGATTCTCAAATGAGATCTGATCAGGATCATCTCGATTCGATGAAGACCAGAAAGTATGAGTTTGGTGGAAAATCTGATAAATTCTGTGGAAAAAATTTCGATGAGATGAAAGACAATGAAAAATGCGGAGAAAAGAGACAATGCATGGATGATGGAAATCGTTGTGATAAAGATGAGGAGCCAATGGATAAGAGAAGAGAATCGGATGTCAGAAATAAGGAAATGTGACTGAGTTCTGGAGAAAATAAAACCATTGCTCAGCTGATGTTGATGATTCTGCTGGCCATGTATTTTATTGTAAAGTTGTATTATATTTTTATTTAAATAAACTTTTTTACGTATTTTGAGATGTTTTTTTTTTGGATCAGAACCACTAAGGTTTATTGCGAAATTCAGAATTCAAGGCTAGTTTTGGGAATAAGAAGAGCAAAAGAATATTTCGAGAACCCAAAATCAAAAATCCTGAATCCTGAAAGCCAGCTCAAATGCATTTTTTCCAAAAAAAAAATATATATTTCAGGTTTTGAGCAGACCTATAATTGTGCATATCAGAAATTTCTAGAATCCGGATATCCCGAAAAAATTTATTCCGGATCCCGCACATACAGTACCGGTTCACCAGAAGACGTATTTTCAGAAGTCTCGGCTGTCAATTTTCCGATCACTTTGAGAATTTTGGAAGGTGTAAAACAGATTTGATGAACAACTTTGCGTTTATCAAATTTTTCGAAAGTTCCAAGTTCTTTAGCAATTTAGCCATTTCTGAAGTGACCGGAAAATTTTCAGACTCCTGAAAATGACCGAATATCAACTGAAAAATACGTTTTTGTATATCTTTTTGACCGGTAATGCAATAGCAAAGCTGTGCGTAGCAGAGATGTCCGGAATCTGGATTTCTGTAATTTTTTATTCCGGATTCTTGAAAAACAAACTCAATTTTCTCTAAATTTCCTAGTTTCACTTTTTTTGGAATATTCTAGACCTAAAAGTAAAACAGCACGTGAGTCCATATGACTGAAAATAATTTACTAGGTCACAAGTTGACTATTTTTAGACTTTTTGTTATTTCGTTTCTGTTATAGCCTTCTATTTTTGTTTGCATCTGAAACTTCAACTTTTTCAAGTGATAAGAAACATTTTTTTTTGTATAAAAAATGGTCGATTTTTTAGAAATTTATCATTCTTTTCAAGTTTTTTGATCTATTTCGATCATTAATTTGTAATTTTGAAATAGTTAATTTTTCAGAAAATTTGCAAAATGGGCACTCGAGAAGACCTTCGTGATTTTGAAATGCGTTCTAAGCTTCCGATGATGACTAGTCGGAAATTGGATCTTGAAGAATCTGAAAGTTCGCGACTGAATGATGATAAATCGAAGAACGACAAAAGAAGCATGCACAATGAGCCGGAATCGAGAAGAAGAGAAAATTCGGAATCTGGAAATAAGGAAATGCTACGAAGACTATTCAATGATGACTTTCTCGATGAGACTTTTTTGTTTTGAATATGTGAAAATTGTTTGTTGTAAATAAATTGTAAATAATGTAATAAATGTAATTTTGAATTTGACCGTTTTTGAAAAATGATTTTAAATTCTCGGAGACGATATCTCGGAAAAAAACGTTTCCAATAGAAGCCCTATACGCGAATTTCGAACTCAATTATTTCCAATAAGAAATATAAAAATCTATCAACTGATAAAATTTTGATGATACTATGGTTAATAATTTATCAGTTGACAAGTTTTGGATATCTTTTACAGAAACCGAGATAATTGAGCTCGAAGTGAACGATATGGTGGCATCTACTACTGCAAATACTTACACACATTATTATTTTTGAACACTTTAAAAAGTGGTCTAGATTTTTTCGATCCGGCTGAACAGAGCGTTCTAAACAAAACTAGTGCTTCATTTTTGTAATTGACAACTTTTTTATACGAATTCAAACATGCGAGATACGCGGATTTGAAGTGGCATTTCAGGGCTAATTTTGGCATTTTCGGCGCTGTTTTGGTCACAAACGGCATATTTTTCATTAGGAGGAAAAATGCCGTAAATTTTCTAAAATTTTTGATATTTTCAAATTTCCGAAATTTCTCAAGTTTGAAACTTTGTAAAAGTCCAAAAATGTTTTTCAAACTTTCAGAAATTTCAAAAATACAACATTTTCTAAAATTTTTAAGTTTGAAATTTTCTGAATTTTCTGAAATAAGAATCTTTTAAAAGTTTGAAATTCTCTGAATTTTCTGAAAGTTGAAATTGTCTGAAATTCCTGAAACCGAAAGTTTCCGAAAATTCTGAAATATTTTTTCTGGAAACATCCATCTTTGAGATGTTTGATTTTTAAATTTTTTTGAGCTTCCCAAACGTCGAAAATGTGCGGGGCCTATCTGGAAAGAAACATACTCCATTAAGAATTTCGTTATTGCACCTAAGCTCCGCCCACTCTCGAATTTTCGGTCGCAACGAGCATCTAAATATGACCAGAGTAATATCCTTGTATAAACAAATTGGGGAAATTTCTAGAAGTTTCTATTCAAAAATAGTGTAAAATGTGATTCCCTTTCACTTTTTCCCCCTTCCAGGCCATATGGCCCTGTAAAAACCACATGGGAGAACTGTGATTTTTTCAGTAAATACGTCTGGATAACAGGAGGTATTATTGACTTTTTTGTGTTTTCTTATTTTTAAAGAGTGGTGTTGATTGAGCTATGGTCACATAATGATAAGAACTTGGTATATAAGACCCAACGGAGTTTTAGGAAGGCATCAGTTTCATTTTCTTATTTCTATTCCATTTTATGATTTTTTGTAACTTTTTGATTTTTCAGAACAAATTCAACAACCCAACGAAACCAAAATGGACAAGGATCTCGACTATCACCAGGAATCTGATATTGACAAGCTCAAGAATCGAGAGGATATCCACTTCGAGCATCAAGGCGAGGGAGAATCACATTGTGAAGGAAAATCTCGTGGCCAGTGTGAGAAGAACAAATTTGAGAAGAAGAATGAGATGAAGATTGGAGGAGGATGTCCAACTCAAGGAGGAGGACAGTGCAAGGATGCTAAACGTTGTGATAAGATGGAAGATGAGCCAATGGACAAGAGAAGAGAATCGGATATCAGAAACAAGGAGATGTGAATCTATTCCATGCGACCTGAAGATATTGCTCAGCAATTTTTATTCTAATCCTGATGTGAATAATTTTGTATATAATCTTTGTGTCTAAATAAACCTGTATAAATGCAATTCTTAATTTGAAAAGTTTCGAACCGAACTAGAATACCGTAAAACCTGAAATAGGAAGCCCTCAACGTGTCAAGTTTGAGCACAATTATCTTAATTCCGGCGCATGATATCAAAAATGTGTCAACTGACAAAATATTTTTGATAATATGATAAACAATTCACCAGTTGTTAACTTTTTGGTATATATCAAAAGGACCAAGAAAAATTCGCTCAAAGTTAAAAGATAGCCCTCCTGTTACAGGTTTTACGGGAAAAGAAATCGTTTATGCCGTTATCGATATAAAAAAATTCCAAAAAGATGTGAAATAAAACTCAAAAAACTCTAATTCGAAGGTTCGACAGTGTTCTTTTGTCTAACAAATCTGTTTGTCAGCAAACGCGCTCAACTGGACTGTGTCAATTCGAATAACAAGTTTTCGAAAAACTTTTTCCTTACTCGCGACTTACTTACTAGTTTTTTTCGATTTTTCTCTTTTTTTTTGGAAAACATTTTAAAAAATTGTTTCTATACTTATTGTTAAAGTCAAAAAGTTCAAAAATTAAGAATTTCCGAAATTCAGGTGTTCTCTAAATATGAATTTTGTGAAATCAGAAAAATAGAAAAAAAAACTGGAAAAGGGAACAATTTAAATTCGAAATTTCTAAAAAAAATGTTGAATGTTCCAAATATCAAAAGTTCAGAGATTTTCTAAAATTCCTTTTTTTTTGAAAAATCGTAAAATTAAAGAAAATTCTGAAACTATAAATGAGAAACGTTTTCCAAATTTCAAATTGATAAATGAGAAACGTTTTCCAAATTTTGAAAAATAAACATTTAGAACTTTAAGAAATTCCAAAGAATTCCAAAAATATTTTTTTCTATTCAAAGACTTTTTTGTTTGAGTATTTCGATGTCGGTGATATTGTAGACGGAATTAAACGATGACCCCAAAATACATTGTTACTTTATGAGCTAGTTCAATTTTTTCATTCTTTTCGATGTCAGTTATGCATAAATCTGAAAATGGGGACCATAAAACCTGTAATCGAAAGGACCCCATATTGTTTTTGAGCTCAGTTATCTCAATTCCTATGCAAGATATCGAAATGTGTAAACTAATAAAATGTTCGTGATATGATGATAAACAACCAGTCGATTTCCGCCGCCTATCGCCTATCGGCGGCTACAATCTCCTGGCTTCATCTAAAAAGTGTAAATTTTAATACTGAGGAAAATTAGAAGATGAAGTTTTTTCAAACATTTGAATTTCTCATTCCCGTATTTTCAAATTGAGTGCTCTAAAATAGACAAATTCGAGAAACTCGTTAATTCAGAGAGTCAGCAACGGAACTTCAGAACACCAAAACACTGAATTCGGAAATTCGAAAATTCCAGTTTAGAATGCCAGAGAGCTAATTTTCGAACGTTCTCAGTTTCAGCGCTTTGGGCCCTGTATTCAAAGTCTTCTGGCCTACAGCTTAAAGAAGATGAGACAACAAAAACTTTGTGGGAAAGTTTAGGGAAGCCGAGTTTATGAAATCCGAGCTATTCTAATTGGAGTTCTAGGCAAAATATCTAGAAAACGTTTTATTCTTGCTTAGCTTTGATTAATATTTTCGTTGTATGCGCTGGCTTTTTCAAAGTTTCAAGGCATTCGGACAAATGCAGCTAAAATATGCTTCTGACTTAAAAGTAATTAAATTAAGAAACTTTGAAATTTTGTTTTACCATTACACTCAAACTAATGAGAAAATCATTTTCACATATTCTTACTCATTTTTGAGTTCTGTAAAAAACACAAAAAAATAGATACCACGCGTAGGACACGAACCCTCATAGCGTGGGCAAAAGCTTAGCTCGCTAACCACTATACCATTGGGCCTCAAAGCGAAGGTGGTGGAGACGGCGCATACACTTTCCCACTTTCCTCCCCCTCTCGCCCTCGTCCTCTCTTCCCAGGAGGAAGTTCTACCACCCTTTTTTTACTGTGGTGAAACCAAGGAACGTCTCCAGAAGGCTTCAAAATCAACGTTTTGAAAAACGGGAAGTCCGGGCATTATCTCGCTGCTATTTCGGATTGTCTGTGAAAATTTGAGAAATTTTGGTCGACTGGGGACTTCGCTAGGGTAGACGTTACGGGAACAAACGGACACACACACACACACGCACACACACACACACAGAATTTGGTGATTGTTAATAGTAAAGATGTATCAGTTGACAACTTTTTAATATCTTGGACAGGTACCGAGATAATTGAGATCAAAGTTAAAAGTCTGGGGCCCTTCTATTACAGGTTTTATGGCTTCTGATTGTCACACAAAATCATATGATTTCAATTATCAGAGCAACCATCACCCGTCATAGTGTTATGGCAGATTCCGTGGTCTCTTGGGAAAACAAACAGAACTGTGAACTTTTTAGTATTGATGTCTAGGATAACTGTTTTCCTGACTTTTTTGGTGTCTTAGATTGGAGTTTTGCTGTCTGAGCTATGATCAGACAGTGCTGAAGAAACAATAAATAGTCATATAAAAGTCAGTACTTTTCTTTCTTTCCCATCAATCATTTTCCCCTTTTTCTTTTGTCTATTTTCACTTCTGAATCTTGCCTAAAGTTTTTCATAAATCATCTTAAATTTCAGAAGCTACCAACCAACCTAAAATGGACAGAAATCTTGATTTGCACAAGGAATCCAACATGGACCATCAAAAGAAAACGGACGATATGCACTTCGGTGGACAGCAGGATAAGCATTTTGGAGGAATCGATAGTCAATGTGGAGGAAAGAATGAAATCAAAAGTGGATCCTGTGGAGACAAAGGACAGTGCAAGGAAGGAAACCGTTGTGATAAGATGGAAGATGAGCCAATGGACAAGAGAAGAGAATCGGATGTCAGAAACAAGGAAATGTGAATATATTCCATGCGACCTGAAGATATTGCTCAGCACTTTTTATTGTAACCATGATGTCAATAATTTTGTATAATCGTTTTTTTTTAAATAAATATGTTTAAATAATTGAAATTGCCTATTTTTGAAAATTCGAAAAGTTGCGGACTGAATTAGGATACCGTAAAAAACTTAATAGAATGACCAATTAGCTTTCAACTTTGAACCGATGTATCTCGGTTCCTTTAAGAGGTATAAAAAATTATCAACTGCCAAAACATTTGTGATATTATGATTAGCGACCACAGCAACAGGGGCGGAGCCTAATTTTTTTTCTCCGCGGTCGGTTTTGGGATGTTTGATTGGCTGTAACTATGGCTAGAAAAGCAGAATTACAGGATAACAGTTAAGTTATCAGAGCATCAGTCACACGTCTTAATGTTATGAAAAATTTCCTGGTGGTTTGTGTGGAAGGGGAAACAAACAGAACAGTGAACCTTCATGTCTAGGATCACTGTTTTCCAGTGACGCCAAATTTGTTGTGCTGTTACTTTTTTGGTGTCTTAGATTGGTGTGATATGCTGTCTGAGCTATGATCAGACAGTTCTATATAAGCCATTGCTTCTTTTACTTTCACAGCAATCCGTTTTTCTTTTCCTTTTGTCTAAAGTTTTCTGAATCTTGCTTCGTTAATTATCTCGAACTTCAGAAGCTACAAAATCAACCAGCCAACCTAAAATGGACAAAAATCTTGATTCGCAAGAAGATTACACTATAGACCATCGAAAGAAAATTGATGAATTGCATTCTGGTTTACAGCAGGATAAGCATTTCGGAGGAATTGATAGTCAATGTGGAGGAAAGAATGAAACCAAAAGTGGATCTTGTGGACCCAAAGGACTGAGCAAGGAAGCAAAACGTTGTGATAAGATGGAAGATGAGCCAATGGACAAGAGAAGAGAATCGGATGTCAGAAACAAGGAGATGTGAATATATTCCATGCGACCTGAAGATATTGCTCAGCACTTTTTATTGTAACCATGATGTCAATAGTTTTGTATACAATTTTTGTGTTTGAATAAACCTGTATGGCAACTTATTAATTTGAAAAATTTCGGATTGAACCAAAATACCGTGAAACCTGAATTTAAAAAACCCATACTGTCAAGTCAGTTTTCTCAGTCCCAATGTGAGCTATCAAAAATGTGTCAACTGACAAAAGACTTCTGATATAACGATAAACATTTTTATGTTGGGAAACTTTTCATATCTCTCGGTGGAACCGAGATAGTCGAGCTCAAACTTGACAGTGTGGGTGCCCTTCTATTACAGGTTTAATGGAAGCTTCCAATTTTCTGTGCACAGCGAATTAGATGGCAGTAGTTAACTTATTAGAGTATCAATCACCCGTCATACTGTTATGAAACGTTCCCTGGCCTCTTGTTTGAAAGGAAAAACAAACAGAACTGTGAACCTTTATGTCTAGGATCACTGTTTTCGAGTGACGCAAAATTTATTGTGCTGTTACTTTTTTGGTGTCTTAGATTGGATTGATTTGCTGTCTGAACTATGATCAGAGAGTTCTATATAAGCCATCGCTGCTTTTACTTTCACAGCAATCAGATTTTTCGTTTCCTTTTGTCTAAAGTTTTCTGAATCTTACTTCATTACTCTTGAATTTCAGAAGCTACCAAAAAGCTAAAATGGACAAAAATCTTGATTCGCACAAGGAATTCACCATGGAAGATCAAAAGAAAATTGATGACATGCGTTTTGGTGGGCAGCAGGATAAGCATTTTGGAGGAGTCCATAGTAAATGTGGTGGAAAGAATGAAACTAAAGGCGGATCCTGTGGAGACAAAGGACAGTGCAAGCAAGGAAACCGTTGTGATAAGATGGAAGATGAGCCAATGGACAAGAGAAGAGAATCGGATGTCAGAAACAAGGAAATGTGAATATATTCCATGCGACCTGAAGATATTGCTCAACACTTTTTATTGTAATCATGATGTGAATAATTTTGTATATAATCTCTGTGTCTAAATAAACCTGTATAATCGAAATTACCTATTTTTGAAAATTCGAAAAGTTTCGAACTGTGTCAGAATACCGTAAACACTGATAGAATTAGCTTTCAACTTCGTACCAATGTATCTCGGTCTCTCCGAGAGATATCAAAAAATTACCGACTGACAAAATGTTTTTGATTTTATGACAAACATTTTATCAGTTGACCACCTTTTGATATCTTCTACAGGAAATGAGATATATGGCCTCAAAATAATAATGTGCTTCAGGAAAATTTCAGTTACCTAATTTATCAAATTAGAAGATTTCAGGCATTGAAAATTTTCCGAAAGCGCCCAAAACTCCTTAAAAACCCTTCAAATTTTTTGGAGCATTTTTCAAAAACTTGTTCGAATGGTCAAGTTGAATTTTCCTTGAAATCTACGGATCTGAAGGTCACAGCATCAAACTCCACCGATGGCCCCTGTTTTTGTTTTTGCGTGTGGACCTCAAAAATGATAAAAGAAAGCCTGTAATTTTTCAGATTTTCAGGGAAAAATTGAAAATTTTGGTTTCAGAGATTTTTATATCTGAAATTGAAAAAATCATTTCAAAGGATTATTGAATAAGAAAAAAACGAGATTTGCTTTTTTTTAATTTTTTTAAAAATTTGAATTTTAATCTCGATATTCTTTCAAAACTGTCTGTGAAACTGTCATTTTTCACTTTTCGAATTTTTCCAAAAGAAATTCCTGCGTCTCTCATTTGGGAATCTTTTTCTGTTTACCGAAAAAACTGGACAACAATACAACATCAGAAAACTAGAGGGGGTTGTTTTCAGTGACTAAAATGCTCTTTGATCATTTAAAAATAGAAATGTGGTCAGCTGAAAATGCACACATAAAAGCACCACAAGACTTGAAGCATCTCCTCCTTCTGGTTTTTTCGTTTTCTTAAAAAAGGAAGCTTCTAGACTGTTCATTAAATTTGTGCTTTTCTTTATAAGGCTTTTTTTTCGACACCAATTCCTCAAATGATATTCATGTTCCAGAATATTCCGCTTTTCCGAAAAATGAACAAACTTCACAAGAAGCCAGAATTCAATATGGACCTGCACAACTCGATGAATATGGGTCAAGAGCATTCGTCTGAAAATAAGGAGAAACTTCATAACACGGATCAAGAATTCACCAATATTCAAGAAGTCATTCCGGATCATGGGGACAGAAGTTTCGAGAAGGTGATGGAGAAGGAATGCTGTGGAGGTCAAAAGTCGTGCGAGCAGAAGAGCACAGGAAAGATAAATCCTAAACCTTGTGTTTGAACTTTTTTGTATATTTGGGAGATTTGAGAATTTCTTAATGAATCTTTTTTTTCAAAAAAAAACATTGTCTTGGAAGATATAAAAATGTAGTTTTTATCAATTAAAAAATGTTAGAAAAAGCCAAGGAAGACAGCACAGGTCTCCGAAAATCTTGGTCAGAATTGCGCCCAGTTCTTTTCATTGGCTGAGTATCACACCAAATCCAATAAAAAGGATGATTCTATATTCAAAAAATGATTCTATATTCTGAACAAAAAACCGTGACTTCTGCTTTCTGTGTAAAACTAGATAGTGTGTAATGTTTACGAGAGTCGCGCATGATTTGTGTTTTCGGTCACAAATGTTCAATAGAGATTGTGCGAATTAGTCATTGCAGATTTCGATTTTTAATGAAGTCACAGTTTGAGAATGATATAAAAGGATATGGGAAATCCAAAAAAGGCATCAACTATTACTAGTTCTTCTCTAAACATGTTCAAGGTCTTCGTCACTCTCTCTGCTCTTGCCCTTGCCGTTTTCTGCGCTCCACCAGGATGGCCAACCGGTAACTTTAAGATCTAGTGTATCAGAACATCAAATATTTCCAGCCGAAGAAGCCAAGGCCGAGATGCAAGCCTCCGGAATCTCTTCTCAAGCTGCTGACGGTATTCTGAAGATTGCCACTGACTTCGCCTCTCAGAAGCCAGCCGAAGGAGTTGAGATTGATCGTGAAGCTGCTCGTACAGCTTTCAATGAGTTCATTGGACAAGTTGACGCCTACATCAAGACCCAATCTCCAGAAGACCAAACTGCTTATCAGGCATTTGTTGCCAAGAAGAAGGCTGAATTCGAGGCTCGCATTGCCGAGAGAAAGGCTGGAAGTCAATAAGTGTTATTAACTTTTTTTTTGTAAAGAATAAATTGTTTTGTAACGAACTTTTGTCTGAAGTAGCTCTAAAGGACCCACTGATAATTTGAAACTTTAAAAAAACGTTGTGTCAAGTGCAAAATTCTGTTCGAAATAGAAATTATTAAATTTCCCACTTTTTTGGACTACAAAATTGACTACCGTCAATGTATAGGAGCCTAAAAATACCCAAGAGAACTTAAAGTCAAATAAATAATTAATCAAATTCTCTATTTGTTTTCAATGCTAAAAAAATACAAACTGTTGACTAGCTAATGAATAATTGTTTTCATAATTAGGTACCAGTTCTTATCACACTTTCTGTTCCACGAGCTCTTTATCACATGACATTAGTTGCATCTATAAAAAGTGACCTCAGCATATGATTATAGTATTTCCACTTTTTTAAGATTTATTCGTAATCACTGTTCATTTTTTCACCTTTCTTAAAATTCCTTGGATTTTCAATTTCCAGACCCCTCCCAAAATGGATAACATACTGCGACAAATGGATGAAATTGCTGAAACAAAGTTCGACCCGGATAGAAATGCTGGAAAACCGGTAGAACTTGAAAAGTATGCCGGAAAGTTGGAGGAAATGAAAAAGGCGATTCGAGAGTTTGAAGAGAAAAGAGAATGTGAAAAAGAGAAGAAGGAGTGCGATAAGAGCGATGATGAGCAAATTGATAAGGGAAAAGTTAAGCCAACCAAGACAATTTGATTGCTAATTTTTCTCCGGTTACTGTAAATGTGGATATTTTTGAATAAATTATTTTTCTGAATTTGAAAGTCTATCGGAAACAATAAGCCACTCGGTCGACCGCGCGACACCTTCAATGGTGGAACCGCAAGTTCAACCCCTCGAGGAGCTAACTTGAGCGAAATTTCGAGAAATATATTTTTTCATGTTTCTTCTCCACACATTGTCCACATCATTTTTTTTCAGTCAACATATTTTTGTTTTTTTAGAGATATTTTGTCTGGTTTACGTTCTCTGACCAACTGATGGGACAATAAATATTGTTCCAGACGAGAGTACTCTATTTATTTGATCGAAGATTGCTGACACCCCTTCCTCCATTTTTAAGTAGAATCAGTTTTCAACAAAATAGGAGAAATGTCCGTTTTTCCCATTTTCTCCCACCGTATTTCCTCTGATAAAAGCATGTTCAAACCGTCAACCTTGAGTTAATTTATCTGGTTTTCTGTGAAAGATATCAAAAAGTGGTTAACTGACAAAATTTTTTCATAATTTCAGAAACATTTTCTTTGTTAACCACATACTGATATCTTTAACGGAATGAATATATTTTAGCTAGAAGTTGACGGTTTGGGTGGGCTTCTATCAGAGCATTTACTGTTTTTTTTCCACAAAATTGACAACCTTTCTAATTTTCAGTCATGGAAAATCTACAAAAACAAATGGACGATGTTTCTAAAGCTAGATTGGATCCCGATCGTAATGCAGGAAAACCAAAAGAGCTCAATAAGTTGCGTGGAAAATTCAATGAGATAAGAGAAGCTTCTCATGATGATGATAAGAAAGGAAAATGCTGTGTGAAGAAGGAAGGATCAATTGATACCGGAAATATGGCAGATGTAAATACAGCTATGGATATTTGAATGTTGGAAACTCTAGATTCAAAATATTTTTTAAAATTATATTTTGAAGTAGTATTTTTATTCGTTTGTATTTTATAATATATCTTGATCAACAAAAGAAAAAATAAATTAAGTTAAATTAAAACATTTTTAATGAAATTGATGAAATTATCTAACATTTTGCACAACGCACGTATATTAGAAGGGCCCCTTACTTTCAGATTTTATCTCGATTCCTGGAAAAGATATCAAAAATTAGTCAACTGATAAAATATTGGTATTATTATGATAAAAAATTTATTAGTTGACAATTTTTTTATATCTTTTACAGGTATCGAGATAATTGAGCTCAAAGTTGACGGTTTAGCAGAGACAGTGTTTAGGGGAGGCGAAATCTTTTTTTTAACTTCAAATTAAAATCAAAAAACGCCATTCACGCAAAAATAGTTTGATGACATCTGTGAAGTTTGAAAAAAATAGAGCAATCTTTTCTCAAATCTCAGAGCCCTGGAAAAATCAGTACTAAATTTGTAACGGTCAAGTTTCAGGAGTCTTCTTGGATTTTGTGGCTTCGTGGGATCAAAAGATTGGACGGATTAGAATGAAAGGTGAGGAAATTTAGAAACAATTTTAAAAGTGAATTTGAAAAATTCAGGCGGCCAGTGAGCGATTCAGGAGGACAACGGGAAGGTAGACGACTCCAAGAAAATGAGGATTCAAGGTTTTTCCTGAAGGTAACACATTTTTAGAATCTTTTTTTAAAGTTTGGAAATTCTGAAATTCTGAAATTGAAAAAATCGGAAATAGGAAATGCAGAAATGCAGAAATTCAGGAATTCGGGAATTCAGGAATTCGGGAATTCAGGAATTCAGAAATTCTAAACTTCTAAAATTCTAAAATACGGACATTAAAAAATTTTCAAAAAGTGAAGTTTCAAACGACATTTTCGAGGTGCAAACGACATTTTCGAGAAATGGATTTTTTCAAAATCTTCACGAAGGTAATAAAATTTTTGAAGCATTTCAATCAAGCCGCCTCATGAGAACTCCGTGAACTTTTTTGCTATTTCTCTTCTTTTTTTTTAAATTTCCGTTTTCCTTCGGCGTCCATCTTCGGTCTTTTTCATCGGTGTCTTCGGGTTTTCTGGTTTTTTCCTCTTCGTGGTCTGCTTCAACTTGAGATTGTGAAATTCAAAGTTTACCGATATCTGAAAAAAAAAACTGGAGCCCTAAAAAGCTTTAAGAACAAGAGCATTAAAATTACAGATTAGCGAATTGAAAAATAAAATGAAAAAAAAGAATAAAATGGAAAATAAAATGAAGACCTGGGAATAGTATACGTGTAAAGGGCCGGGCCGGACCGGGCCCGTCATTCCACAAGTTTGGAAAATTTCAAAAAACACATGGGGGACCCTTATGTGATTTTTTTCGATCAAAAAAAATTTTTTTTCCAGTTTTCGATTTTTTCATCAAACAGACCAACAATACAAAAAAGAAAACAATTATATTGAGAGTTCAAAATTTGGCTCAAAAATACAGGATTTCTGATACCGGGACTTCCGGGCCGGGCCCGGGTCTTGAAAGTTTCTCCAGGCCCGGCCCGGGCCCGGGCTTTGGCGGGCTGGCCCGGAATTTTACAAGTCTGGTATAGAGTTGATTACGTTCAATGGAATGTTGCTAGAAATGTGGGGAAAAAATCTGAAATCGAAAATGGTCTCAAATTTGCGTTCGGGACGAAAATAATTTTCCAAATAGAGGTTTTTCATCTGCTTGGTTGATGAAAAAGTTCCTTCAGAAATTTATAATATTGAAAATTAAAAAATATGAAAATTGAGATTTCAGACTATCCTACACAAGGGTCCAAACCCCTTATTGGGAACCGCGCTCGAAATAACTCAAATTCCAATTTGATGGGATATGTCGTTTGTAACAAAAAAAATGCCGCAAGTGCCCGATAAGCACTGAAATTCGTTTGTGCTACTTTGGAACCGCTTATCTCGCTTTTTTGAATTTTTACGGAACATTATAAAAATGAAGCCCTAGCTTTGTTCAGTATACTCCCCAATTTTCATACAAGTCAAAAAATTCTGGAACACTTTTTTAGAACTTCAAAGCTTTCTACCTCCCTCTGAAAACACCGCCCGGTTTCGAAATAATTGCTACTCTAGAAAATTCTATGTCGTGTTTACTCAAAAATATTTTTTCTATATAAACACCATCATCTGTTTTTTCTCCATTTCATTCATAGCCTTATGGAACAAAAACAATTCAAAGATCAATGTTCCAGCCCAACGGAATCATTTACCTTTTTCCTATAAAAGTAGAATGCTTCACCATGAAATCGTTTTTATTGTTCAGTTAATTTTTTTTATCTTTATTTCCACACTCGATTAAAGAGCCCCGGCGAGCAGGGGGCTGCTCTTTTTCCACGCGTCCAAGCCCAATTTTTTTAGACTTTTCGATTTCTCGGTTTAGTTCTTGAATTTTCAGACCAAATTTCACAACATGGACAGAATCCGAGAGCAAATGGGCAACATTGCCGAAGCCAATTTGGACCCACTTCGAGACACTGGAAAACCCGAAGACCTTCATAAGCATTGTCAACAACGCAACGAAACGAAGGATGCGATTCCGGACCACGGAGAGCAGAGAGGATGCAAGAAGGGACAGTGTTGTGATAATGATCAACCAGTTGATAAGAGAAGAATGTCAGATGTCAATCCAACACAAGAGATGTAAATAATAAATCGGAAATACTTTTTTTTGAAAATGTAAATAAAATTTGTTGAATACCATGTTTCGGATTTTGTTGTTCAGAAAAATTTTCCAGGATTCCAAATTATACCATAAAATCTGTAGCTGAAGGGCTCCTACAAGCCTTCGAGTCTATATATCTCGGCTGTGAGTCTATATATCTCGGTTACTGTGAAAGATATAAAAATGTATCAACTAATGAAATGTTTGTGATATTATGATAAACATCTTATCAGTTGTCCACTTTTTGATATCTTCGCCAGGAACTGAAAAATTTGCTCACATTTAAAAGTTAGATGTGCCTACTATTTTCACTGTATATGGATTTTTGAGAGCCAAACAACAGAATTTTAGCATCCAATCATTTGTACCAGTGTTTTTTGGTTACCATGAACTAGAAAACATTTTCATAATTCAATCAGGATTTTAAAATTTATCCATTTCTGTTCCTCTGTGTGTGTGTATCTTCTGTTGGCTTTTGGTTTCTAGAAAAAAAATTGGTCAGCGGTCCCTTGTTGCCTTGTTATTGTTTACAGTTTCTATGGAAAGTTCTGGAGAGTTTTCTTCTATAAAAAGAAGAATTTCATTCACAATTTTGAAAATTTGCCATTTCAAAACGTCGTCTTTCGTCATTTTGTTTTTTTTTTTTCAAAAAAAAAATAAAATAAACCCACTGTTGTTTTTTCTCCACTCACTAGTGACCTGTTGACTGATTAGAGAACAAAAAATAATTGGAAAAATTACATGCTGCTCTTTGAGCTTTCCACTTTATGACATCAGATTTCTCTATAAAACGGTATTTTTTACGTTTCCGAGAAATATTCTATCTTTTCATTGTTTAATGTTTATTTTCTTGAAATTCGATTAAACAATTTTTTCCAGAAACTCAAAGTCAACAAGTTCAAATTTTTTTGAAAAATGGACCACATGCAAAGAACGTTCGATATCGTTGAAGACAAGCTGGATCCTCACGGAAATGCTGGAGTGACTGAGAAGCGATGTGAAAAATGTGGTTGTGGTGACAAATGCATTTGTTCGCGCTGTGATTGCAAGAAAAACAGCAAAAAATGTTGTGACAAGAAGCGGGATGAGAAGCCTGTTGACAAGAATCTGATGCTGTAAATGACAATTTATTTTTTGTTTGAAAATTTTATTTGTACTTGACTGACAATAAACCTTTTTTTTGAATATTTTACAAGAGCTTTAAAATCGAAAGAATCTAAACAATCGCTTGTATGTGTTTCGAAAATTTGTCGGATTTTTTAATCGGAAAAGCCAATCTTGTGCTTTCAGGAACATTTTTTGAAAATCTTCCGGAAGCATCTAATCTTTAAAAATTTGAGGGTACTGTTCCAGCCCAACGGAATCATTTACCTTTTTCCTATAAAAGCAGAATGCTTCGCCATGAAATCGTTTTTGTTGTTCAGTTAATCTTTTGTCTTTATTTCCACACTCGATTAAAGAGCCCCAGCGAGCAGGGGGCTGCTCTTTTTTCCACCCGCCAATTTTCTAGACATTTCGATTTCTCGATTCAGTTCTTCAATTTTCAGACTAAATTTCACAACATGGACAGAATCCGAGAGCAAATGGGCAACATTGCCGAAGCCAATTTGGACCCACTTCGAGACACTGGAAAGCCCAAAAACCTTCATAAGCATTGTCAACAACGCAACGAAACGAAGGATGCGATTCAGGACCACGATGAGCAGAGAGGATGCAAGAAGAGACAGTGTTGTGATAAGGATCAACCAGTTAATAAGAGAAGAATGTCAGATGTCGATCCAACACAAACGATGTAAATAATAAATCGGAAATACTTTTTTTTGAAAATGTAAATAAAATTTGTTGAATACCATGTTTCGGATTTTGTTGTTCAGAAAAATTTTCCAGGATTCCAAATTATACCATAAAATCTGTAGCTGAAGGGCCCCTAACAGTCGTCAATTTTGAGTCTATATATCTCGGTTACTGTCAAAGATATCAAAAAGTGGCCAGCCGACAAATCAATTTAGATATTATGATAAACAATTTATCAGTTGACCACTTTTTGATATCTTCGACAGGAACCGAGAAAAATTGGCTCAAAATTAAAAGCTCGGGAGACTTTTCTAGATGAGGTTTTACGGTGTATGAATTTTTGAGAGCCAACGACAGTTTTTCAGCGTCTCTGGAGCTCGGCCTTTGAAGTTTCCGATCATTTTGAAAATTTTGGAAGATGTGAAACAGACCCAGAACTTTGCATTCGCTGAATTTATTGAACTTTTTTCAGCTATTTAGCTGAAAAACTAGGAATTTCCAATTCTGTAAATGAAAAGTTTTTAACTTTGGTCTTTTTCACACCGTCCAAAATATTCAAAGTGAACAGAAACTTGATAACCGAGAACCAGACTCCTGAAAATGGCCAAAATGGTAATAAATCCACTGGAAAATACTTTCTTGTATATCTTATGAACCTGTACTGTAGATGCTCGAAATTTCTATAAGTATTTGAGACATCAATCGCATTTATCCATTTCTGTTCCTTTACTTTTTTTTTTTCTTTTGGCTTTTGGTTTCCAAAAAAACTGAATACATTGGTCAGTGGTCCCTTCTTCTTTTCTTGTTTTTGTTTACAGCTTTTAGGGAAGATTCTGGAGTTTTTTTTTCTATAAAAAGGCCAATTTTTACAAAAAAAAATTGAGTATTGTTCGAATTTTCGACAAGTGGTAGTTTCAGAACTTTGCCTCCCGTCATTTTGTTTTTTTTTGTCTATCTCATCAAACAAAAAATAAACCCACTGTTGTTTTTTCTCCTCTCGCGGGTGGCCTGTTGACTGATTAGAGAACAAAAAAATTTAAAAATCACATGGTGCTCTTTGAGCTTTCCACTTTATGACATCAGATTCCTCTATAAAATGGGATTTTGTCCTAGGTTTCAGAGAAATAGCCTAGCTTTTCATTTCTTAAATTTTATTTTCTTAAGGCTCGACTTCTTCTACGTATATAGGATTTTTTTCCAGAAACTCAAAGTCAACAAATTCAAGAATTCTGGAAAAATGGACCACATGCAAAGAACGTTCGATATCGTTGAAGACAAGCTGGACCCTCTTGGGAATGCTGGAGTGACTGAGAAGAAATGTGACAAATGTGGTTGTGGCGACAAATGCACTTGTTTGAATTGTGATTGTAAGAAAGGCAGCAAAAAATGTTGTGACCCGAAACGAGATGAGGAGCCTGTTGATAAAAGATTGATGCTGTGAATAATACAATTAGTTCTTTGACATTTTATTTTTTTTTGCCTGAAAATAAATCTGTTTTGAAATTAAATATTTTTAAGGTCTTTAGGATCGAATGAAGCTTAAAAAAGAACGTGTCTTTGAAAAAATGTGTTTCAGAAATTCAGAGTATACTGCAATTTAGAAATTCTGAAATTCTGAAAATCTGAAATTTAAAAAAAAAAGTTTCAGTCCTTTTGGAAGCTCAATTTTCCAAATTGTAGCCTTCTATATCTGGAATTTTCTACAAACCAAGCTACAAATTTCAAAGCATTTCAAAAATTTTCATCAAAAAAAATACAAATCATAAAGAGTATCATCATTTATTGCATCGAAATCATAAAAACAGAATTATGTAAATATCGAAGAATTTAGAGAATTGTGCAGTCTGCAATTCTTCACATCTCCTTGTTCCGAACATCCGAATTTCTTCTCCGGCTCTCTGGTTGAATGCAGGTGCATCTGTCTTTTTGACAACATCCTCCACAGATTCCAGTCTTCACGCACATTCCCTCCTTACGTTGAAGCTCTTTTTCACCAGATATATCAGTTTTCATGTCATTGAATGCATTGGAAATTTTTCCACTTTGTCCCTCCAATCTTTCGGTTACATTCGCATCTTCCATCGGATCCATTTGATACGTGGCATGCTGATCGACAAAGTCATCACTCATTTTGCTCATGTTTATCGGCTGATTCATAGAATTTAAAATTCTGAAAAGATTAATGTAATACAAGATCCATTTAATACACTTAATACATACGTAAAAGAGATTTCAGGAATAAAACGAGAATCTCAGTGTTTCTAAATGCCCTAAAACTTGTAATAGAAGGCCAACCCTATTAGAAGGGTCCCTGTAATAGGAGGGCCCTCCGGAGGTATTTTGGAAAAATAGGAAGACACATGTTTCACGGGAATCCGAAAAGTTAAAAACTTAGAAAACCCAACAGCTGCTCGGAACATCTTTATATACGAGATGATAACCGTTGAGCATCAAGAAAAAAATTCTAGAAGATGTCCAAGATACTGGTAAACAAAAACAAAACGGAACATATTGAAGATAGAGACCACTGAGCAAAAAAGAATTTCCGAGGACCAGAAGGCAAAGGCAACAAAAAACAAGTAAACATCGGAATAAAAAATGGAATGGGTCTGTTTGATGCACCAAAAATAGGAATTCAGAGCAGCAGATTTTGATTTTTGAGAATAAATACCGTTCAATTTTTGAATAAATCCTTATATTCATAAATAGGTATTCTAGGAAATTCCGTGATCATTATCATTATTTTTGAACCTCCGAGAATTTCTGAATTTCGGATTTTTAGAATTTCCGTATTTCAGAATTGCAGAATTTCAGAATTTCAGAGTTCCACAATTTAATATTTCTACACTTTCGAAATTTCAGAATTTCAGAATTTAATAATTTAATAATCATTAAAAATTTACAAACTTTCACATTTTTTTACTATTATTCAAAACCCTCAAATTTGTCTTTTTTTTAAATTTTTTTTTGTCATTTCTGATTCCCCAAGTTTTCAAATAATTGAAAACAAACATCGTATCCTATTACCAAAATTATGAAAACCAGGAAAAACAAATATTTTCTCCCTCCAGACCACCTATCAAAAAAAACACAAGATGTGCTCACTGCCCCCTTCTCTCTCTCTCTCTATTTTCTATCTCTCTCTCTCTCTCTCTCTCTCTCTCTCTCTCTCTCTCTCTCTCTCTCTCTCTCTCTCTCTCTGTTGACAACTATTTCGAGACATGTGAGGAAACCCAATGGCTAAAAGAAGACTCCAGAGCCTCCGGGCGTTTTTTGATGTGTTACTTGCTACGACATTTTGTTTATGGTCCTGGTGTCGGTATAAAAGACACCGATCGGTGTTCAGAATCTTCTCTCTTCTCTGTGTTTTTTTTTCACTATGTCAAACTGTAATTTTTACCTTAACCTTGTTTTTTTGATTTGAATTATTGAGCTTGTTTCCCCTCCACTTCATACATCTCAATCTTCCAGTGTTCCAAAATTCCCAAAAAGAATGATGAGCAAAATGCAAGAGGATCTTGTCCATATGGGCCCGAAAATCGATCCAATTGCCAATGCGAGTGCAAGTACCACTGAACGATTGGAGAACCAAAGTCATCAAGTCGCCAGAGCATTCAATGATAAATTTTCACATAACGGAGAGCCGGGTCTTCATCGTACCGAAGGATTTTACTGTAAAAATGTCAAATGTGGAGATGGAAAATGCGGTGATAAGGAACCGGAAAGAGAGCAGAGAAGAGATTCGGATGTGAATAATAAGGAGATGTGAAGTACGGAAGATTTTGAAATTTAACTTTTTGAATGTATAATTTTAAAACAATCCTACATTCTTATGTTTTAATGTGTACTCCTGAAATCATCTTGAAGAAATCGTATGCTTTGTCTCGTGTTGCATTCCATTCAGCAATGATACTCATGTGTGTACATATTTCCCGAATAAATTGCTTCAGAATAAATGATTTTGTTGGAAAATCTTGTTTTTTTTTAATTTACAGAAAAGATATGACTTACAGATTTTTTCAGGAAACATGAAAAGAAAATCTAGAACAGTTTTTTGTCACTTTGCAAATAAAAGTTTTCGATTTAGACATTGAAAGAAAAAATTGAACAAAAATTGTCAATTGAAAAAATTAAAGTTTCAAATTCAAACGTCATTTCGTCTCAATGAAAACTTCAAAATGAACCAAAACACGACTAGGTTTGGTTGAATTTGAAAGTTTTCGAAAAGTTTTGAATTCAGAATATATATTCAGAAATCCAGAAATTCAAAATTTTCAGATTCAGCCTTGTTGATGCTCATTTTAAAGCTGGCAACAAGACAAATTATAACGTAATAAACGTTTCTCAACATTTCTAGAGGTAATCCAGAGTTTTCAGTTTTGGCTTAACTTCCAAATATTTTGAGAATCTTCGAGAAGTTTTCAGAAATGGAGCAATTTTTTAAAGTTGGGTTTTGCTTTTTGCTTTCTTCGTTTGACATTTTCTGTGATTTTTCTGAAAATTTATTTGAAAAATTTTCTCCAAAAAATTATCCAAAAAAATATTCTCCAGAAAAAATCAATTTCTGAAAAAAAAAACCAAAATTCGTATCTCTCTGAAAAGTGGTTTCAATTTTCCAGAAATACCATAAAACCGTCAACTTTGAGCCAGCATATCTTATTTCCTGTGAGAGATATCAAGAAGTGATCAACTGATAAAATGTTCATCATAATATCACAATCATTTTTGTTGACAAATTTCCAATATCTTGCATGGGAACCAAGAAAAATTTGGCCAAACATGGCAGTGTGGGGCCCTTCTATTACAGGTTTTACGGTAATTTTCGGTGTTTGCTTTCTTAATACTGCTAATGAAAACTCTCGAAAATCGAAAATCTCTCTAGAAGCGTTCATCCAAAAATATCCCAAATCTCAAAAACCAGCTGATGGGCCGAATCCCCCGAAACGAACAAAGTATTTACCCCTCAAATTGAATGTCTGCGTCTCATACACCGGGAAATACCCTCTTTCTATTTTTGCTGACAACTGTGTTGACCATGTGGTTTTCTTCATGGCCATCATCCAAAGAATTGCCTGGAACCTTCCGTCTGATTTGTTTACTGTTTTTGTGAGCTATGGTGTCATGATGGATTGTTAGACAAACTTACAGATGGGTGTATAAAATAAAAATAAGGAGGACATAGTTCAGGAGAAATGAGCTTTTTTTTTTGAAACTCAGTCTTGATATTTAAATTTCCAATGTCTTTAAATCTATAGTTTTGAATTTCCCACTCTTCATTTTTAAATCATACTTTGAAAAAAAAAATCTATCTCCGTTACCGTATAACATGTTATAGGAAGATGTTATAGTATACCCTGTTATAGAACACACTGTCAAGTTTGGGATAATCTTTCTCGGCTCTTATGCAAGGTATCAAAATTGTGTCAAATGATAAACTGTTTATCATGATGTAACCAACATTGTATCAGTTGAAAACTTTTTCATATCTTTCAGAGGAATCGAGATAAATCGGCTCAAAGTTTTTCAGATGATTTAATTCTTACCTTTTAAAACTTGTTCTTTTTGAAACTTTATACTTATCTTTATACTTTTAACTTTTTTCTTATAATTTTAATATTAACTTTACACTTATACTTTTTCAGAATCTAAAAACCCCCGAAAATCGCTCAAAATGAATATGATGGATAAAATCGAGAGTAACATAAGCTCGAACGTCGTCGACAATAAGCTTGACCCTCTCGACGACATTGACCCAAACAAGAAGTTGGACCGTCAGACAGGTAGCCGTGTAGCCAATGCACTTCATGCCATGCAGGATGCCATTTCTGGAGACAACTCTCATAAAACTGGCATGGCCTTCAATGATAGTGAAGAGGAAGAGCCAATGGATAAGAGAAGAGAGTCGGATGTCAACAATAAGGAAATGTGAAAGTTATGGAATCTCATTTCGCAGTTTTACCTACTGTAATAATGTAATTTTGAGCTGTAAATAAATTTTTTACTTCAAGGAAAACTAATTTTTAAAGTACTCTATTTTTTGCAGACATCTTTTATGCAAAAGATAAAAATGAAAAACACAGCAACGCACGTCTGTGCTATAAATAAAGACAAAACCCTGCGTCTCTTGGCCGTTCGCATAGTTAGAGAGAGTGTGGAAATTGCTAGAACCCGTCGGATTGTTGACAGTTTTTGCTGAGAATCATGAGGTGGAAAGTGCAGAAACTTTTGGTATAAAAAAGAGACACGAAGAGAAACAATACACGTTTTTCAGCTAACTAGAAGCTTTTGGAAATTCATTTTTGAGAATTTGGACTTGAAAATTTTTTAACATAGTCTAGACTTATTCATAAATCACCCACGGTGATTTATGAATAAGCTTTACGAATAAGCTTTCATAAATCACCTACTGATTTTGATCTACCCAATTTGAAAATTTGCACCCTGACCCGCAACTTCGAGGCTGTATATCTCAGCTCCTGTGAAAGATATCAAAAATTGGTCAGATAAAAAAATATTTATCATAGTATCACCAATATTTTGTCAGTTTATCACTTTTTGATATCTCTCACAGGAAATGAGATAAATTGGCTCAAAGTTCAGAGTACAATACCGTACTTGCTCCAATAAAAGCCAACCCTATACGTGCACTTTGAGCTCAATTATCTCGGTTCCTATGCAAGATAACAGAAAATAGCTTAATTAAAAAGTGTAATATTTGTGATTTTAAGATAAAAAATGTATTAGTTGACCGGTTTTTGATATCTCTCATGGGAAGCGGGATAAATCCTTTTCGCTATTCTTATAGTGCCGTTTGTCTGATTTTTTTTTCGATTTTCGATATTTTTCAAATTAAATTTTTTCCAGAAAATGAGTGTCATCAATAAAATCGAGGACAACCTCAGCAGTGCCTACGTCGAACACAAGCTCGACCCAATCGAGAAGTCCCATCAACACGCTCCAGAAGTTCACGCAACTGGCGAGGACTACCATAGAGGAAGCCGCCTTTCCGATGCGTTCGTTTCGCTGAACAATGCCATTCATGGAGATACCACTCATAAGACTGGAGAAGCATTCAATGATGCCAATGAGTATGATGGTATGGAAAGAAAAATGTCAATGAGCAAGGAAACGGTACTAGAAATGGTGCACAGTTGTTTCATGAATGCTACTTGATGAATCGGCTTTTTTTTTCGTAAATATACAATCTCTGGTGTACATAATTGAGAATAATTTGTCATGAAAATCGGAATAAATTTTCTTGAAATGAATGGTTCGTGAAGTTTCAAAAAGCTCATCAAGGAAACAATTAAATACAGTAAATGTTAGAATAGAAGTCCACCCTATTGCATAAAACTTCCTCCTTTTGAAACTTATAAACCCAAATTTTTTCTTTCTTTCAGAATTTATAAAACCCCAAATAAAAAGGGCTCAAAATGAATATGATGGATAACATCGAGAGCAACATAAGAAGATGGACCGTCAGATAGTCGTGTAGCCAATGCACTTCACGTCATTCAGGATGCCATTTCTGGAGACAACTCTCATAAAACTGGCATGGCATTCAATGATAGTGAAGAGGAAGAGCCAATGGATAAGAGAAGAGAGTCGGATGTCAATAATAAGGAAATGTGAAAGTTATGGAGTCTCCTTTCTCAGTTTTACCTACTGTAATCTTGTAATTTTACCTTGAAAATAAATTTTTTACTTCACGGAAAATCTATTTTCAGAGTACTCTTTTTTGCGGACATCTTTTGAAAGATAAAAATGAAAAACATTGAAACGCACGTCTGTTAAACAGAGTTTGTGCTATAAATAAAGACAAAAACGCTGCGTCTCGTGTAGAAATCGCCAGAACCCGTTGAATTGTTGACTGTTTTTTGCAGATTGCAGAGAGTCATGAGGGGAAAAGTGCAGACTTTTGATATATAAAAGAGGCATGGTGAGATTTGAGACACATTTTTCGGCGAAATAGAAGCTTCTGGAATGTAATTTTTTAAATGTGAGATCTGAATTTTTTGAACATAACCTAGGCTTATTATAGAACGATTCACCCACCTCCCTACCAATTTTGATTCATTCAATTTTTTGCAGTCTGACCGTCAATTTTGAGCCAATTAATCTCGGTTCCTGTAAAACATCAAAAAGTGGTCAACAGAGAAAATATTCATCCTAATATCATCTATATTTTATCAGTTGACAAAATTTTGATTTCTTTCCCAGCAAATGAGATAAATTGGCTCAAAATTGACACTCAGAGTGAAACTACCGTGTTTGCTTCAATAGAACCCGACCAACGTTGAGCTCAATTATCTCGATTCTTAAGCAAGTTATCAGAAATCTGTTAACTGATCAAATATTTGTAATTTTATGATAAACAATTTATTACTTGACCAATTTTTGGCATCTATCATAGGAACCGAGATAATTGAGCTCAACGTGGATAGTCAGACTTTATCAAGTTTTTTCTCATAGTCCCGACTGTCTGTTCTTTCTACTTTCTTCAAATTTATTTTTTTTTCTTTCCAGAAAATGAGTTTCATCGATAAAATTGAGGACAACATTAGCAGTGCCTACGTCGAACACAAGCTCGACCCAATCGAGAAATCCCACCAACATGCTCCAGAAGTGCACGCTACTGGCGAGGACTACCACAGAGGAAGTCGTCTTTCCGATGCGTTCGTTTCTCTGAGCAATGCCATTCATGGAGATACCACTCATAAGACTGGAGAAGCATTCAATGATGCCAATGAGGATGATGATATGGAGAGAAAAATGTCAATGAGCAAGGAAATGTGACTGGAAGTGGCACACAGTTGTTTTGGAAGTGCTAGTTAATGAATCGGTTGCTTGTAAATATCATTTGTATAATTATTAATGTAATTGACAGTAATTTGTCACGGAAGTCTGAATAAATTGCCTTGATATAACTCGGTCATAAAATTTCAGATAGGTTTCAAAGGGAGAAAAATCAAGGCACCGTAAAACCTGCAACAGAAGAGCCCACTTACTTATATCTTTGAGACAACATATCTCGGTTCATGTGATCGATATATAAAAGCTTTAAAGTGATGAAATGTTTATCACAATATCACAAACATTTTATCAGTTGGCACGTTCTTGATATCTTGCGTAGAAGCTAGGAAAAATTAGCTCGATCTTGACAGTGTGGGACCCTTCTATTATAGGTTTTACGGTAATAAGTTTGGAAAAAATTGATTGATCTAGTAAAATGCGGAAATTCAATAATGAAGTTTTTTGACTCGTCCACTAGCATGAAAAAATATAGTTTTATCACAAAAAGGGTTTTTTATTCTTAAATTTCCAGAAGAACTACATTTTTTGAAATCTTGAGAATTTGCTGTTTCAGACAAACTCTCTTTTTATTTGAACCGTATTTTCTTCAAACCTATTTTTTGATAATATATTATGAAAGAAATTAACTTCAAATTTATAGCATTTTTGATATTCCAAAAAATCTTCAATCTTCTGTCAATTTTTTTTCTAAAAATGACCCGAGTTTTGCCCAAAACTGTGCAAATAAAAGAATCCTTTGGCTCTAGACCACTGTGTTATTTCTTTTTTTGGTGTGGAAACATGATTATTCCCAAGTTCCGCCCATTTAGATCGAGACTATAAAAGATCGGAGTAAGAGAAGGTGGAGACTCGGCATTGTGCAACATTTGAAAAAGCCGTCTTATTTCATTTGAACAAGTTTTTAAAGATTCAAAACTGTTTCGGCAAGCCTTTCCGAATCCCTCAAAGTTTTCATTTGGTACTCTAAACTACACATGCAGTAAAACCCTGTAAGAAAAGGGCTCCCAACTTTCAACTTTGACCCAATTTATCTCGGTTCTCGTAAAAGATACCAGAAAATGTACAACTGATTAATTGTTTATCGTAATCTCACGACCATTTTATCAGTTTTCAAAATTTTGATATCTGCCATAGGAACCGAGATTATAAGGCTTGAAGTATAGGGTGGGGTTCTATTTGAGCATTTAAAGCGTCTCTTCTTCAAAGCAATATCAAATCACTAATCTCTCATTCCCAATAACCCCTCTGGTTTCCAGTGTTCACATTCTCCCGCTTTCCAGAACCTTCTCTTCTGTTCTTCTTCTTATTGTTGTTCTGTTTCTCTATTTCCCTCCAGTTCACAGTCCAGACACCAACGACCATGTTTTTGTTTATTTCTTTGTCTCTCTCGTCGTCTATTTCTCCAGTGTCTGGTCATAAGGGGGACACCCTTCTTGTTTTATTTGTTTTTCGTTTAAAAAGGCAGACATGTGAACGTTTACTATTTTCAACAACTCTATAATTTTTTTTAGGCGATGAAATTTTCAGTTGACATCTGACATCATTCGGGTTGTCAGTTGACGAATTTCGAAGGTTCTATATAAACCATTCGTTAGTATCACCAGTCTTGTTTTTTTTAAATATGGATGTAGTTCTTAGGTTTATTTGATTTAAATGTGGTATTTCCAGTCAATAGTCCAACTTTCGGACCTTCCTATCTTTCTCTCTCTCTCTCTGTCTCTCTTCTCGTAAAGCTTGAAATTTCTCTTTCTCTCTAAAAAATCTTTTTTTCAGAAACTCTAAAATCTAAAACAATATGAACATCCTTGACCAAATTGAGGATAATCTTAGCTCAAATATCATTGAGTCCAAATTAGATCCTCTCGAAGAAGATTCAGGCAAAGAAAATGAATCCCGAGGGTTGATTTCTAGTGCGTTCACTTCTTTGAAGGAATCGGTTTTTGGAGATTCTGGTGCTGAGCAGCCACAGAAATCGAATTCAGATTCTGCACACAAAGAAGAGGTTCCTGGGAACCAACCGCTAGAAGAATCAACTCCAGAAGTAGGAAGACAATTGGAAACTCCAAAAGCTCCAGAATTCTCTTCAGTTACTCCAGAGGAGGCTTCACAAGCATCGAAAATAGGAGGAATTATATCTAGTGCCTTCACAACCTTCAAAGAAACAGCATTCGGGGATTTAACCTCAAAGAATGATGATGATTCAAAAGAAGAATATACTGCTATCGAGCCCTCTTCAGATCCAATGGACCAGGTCAAAGTTCCAGAAGCACCAGATGCTCCACACATGCCTACAGAATCAGAACAGGCTCTGAAAGGAGGTATATTTTCTAGTGCATTCAATTCACTCAAAGAATCTATGGCTGGGAACACATCCCTTAAAACTGGACAAGCGTTAATGGAAGACGACACGTCTTCTGAAGCACCAGAAGCTTCTGAACCTTTCGAAGTCGAGAAAATGGGACAGATGCCGTTTGAAAGACCTGGCGTGGATGATAGTATAGCTTATGATGAGGCAGCAAGAGATAAGGCGCATTCAGAAGCAGCGGAGAAGGAGTTGGAGGAGCAGAAGAAGGTGAGCTGACTGATAGGAATCTATTTCCCAATCTAGAAGGTCATTATTTTTAAGGAAAAGGAAAAATCTTCTGATGACAAGGGAACCAACAAGGATCATGCTGAAGTCTCAGGAGAGAATTCTGAAAAGGAGGCATCTGAAGACTCTACGGACGACGCGAAGAATCGGGCTCCACAGAGTGAGAAGAGCCAGAAGGGGTTGAACCAGGAACAGATGAGTTCTGGAGGTGAGGAGAAGGAGGATTCCGAAGATAAATCAGATGACAAGGAAAAGGTGAGGACAAAAAATTGCTTTAGAGTTCCAAGTTTGATTTTTCAGAAATCCAATGAAGAGTCTTCTGATAAAAAATCTGGAGACAAGGAAGAAGAATCTTCTGATCCTGCCAAGGACAAAGCCGCACAAGATGCCAATGCTGCCAAGGATACAGCGAAAAATCAATTCCAAAGTACGAAAGAAGACAAATCGTCCGGTTAGTTTTGAAACTTATTTTCTAAGTGTTCCGCTTTTTAAAATTTTTAGAAGAATCCAAAGATCAGAGACCAGGCGATCATAGTCAAGAAGGCAAAACAGAAAAGCCCTCAAAAGAGGATTCTGAAAAAAACAAGGAATCTGAAAAGTCTCAGGATCAGGACAAGGAAGAAAAATCGGAAGATAAAAGGGCCGGTGACCACATCCAGGAGAACAAGGCAGGATCTCCAGATGAGCCTAAAAAAGAGGAACCTGGAGACAAGAATGAGGGCTCAGAATCCAAGTCCGATGACAAAAATGAGAGTCAGTTTTGGGACTATTTTCTCTGAAAATTTTGAACTTTTTCCACTTTCAGAAGAATCCAAAGATCCCAGACCAGGGGACCATAGTCAAGAAGACAAAGCTACATCATCAGAGAAGCCGAAACAGGAGGAATCTGGAGACAAGGATAAGGATTCAGAATCCAAATCCGATGACAATAGTAAGCTCCAATTTTCAGAATATTCCTCATTGTTCCATTTTTTTTTTAGATGAATCCAAAGACCAGAGACCAGGTGATCGCAGCCAAGAAGACAAGAAAGAATCTTCAGATGAGCCAAAGAAGGAGGAATCTGGAGCCAAGAATAAGGATTCAGAATCCAAGTCTGAGGACAATAGTGAGTTCCGATTTTCTGAAAATTCCGAAATTCCTCGAATTTCCAGAAGGCTCCAACGACCAGAGACCAGGGGATCATAGTCAAGAAGACAAGGCCTCAAAAGAGGATTCTGGAAAAGACAAGGAATCTGAAAAAGGTCAGGATCAGAACGATTCCAAGGATCAGAAGAAGGATCCTGAAGACCAAAGGCCCGGGGATCATAGCCAGGATTACAAGGCTGCAGATTCAAAAGAGGAAGATTCTGGTAAGAAAGAAGATTCCCAGGACGACTCCAAGGATAAGAAGGAAGAACCAGAAGACCAGAGGCCAGGTGATCATAGCCAGGAGAACAAGGCAGGAGATTCGAAAGAGGAAGATTCCAAGAATGACTCCAAGTCTTCAGATGACAACAAATCAGAAGATAAGAAGGAAGGAGGCAATTCAGAAGAGAAGAAGTCCGGCGAGTCTAAGGACCAAGAATCTGGTGAGAATCCTGAAGAAGCAGAAGAGGAATCCTCAGATCCTCCAGTCAACATTGCCGACGAAGTCAGCTACGTTTCAGCCATGCATAAAGAAGACGCGCTGGATTCCAAGCCATTATAAATGGGTATTTTTCAAAGAAACATTTTTTCGTAAAACAAATAAAAACCTTCACGAATTTCAGAATTTTCCATGTTGTTTTAAATATACTGAGTTATTGAAATCTCAGGATTTGTACCTTTGATTTTTCTTTCATTTTCTTTTCCTTTGATTTTTTCCCTCGACCTGATTTTCTAAACCTTGTTGTATCATTCTGTTTTCCCCCAACCATCCGCCCATGTGCCCTATTTTCGATCATATTATGGGTCACAAGGGGGAACCCCATTTTGTTTGTTGACTGGTGCACAGGCACACGTGAGAGCTGATAGTCAAAAGGGTCTATTTTTTGTCAAGCAGTATAACCTTGAAGATATTATCTTTTTTCTTTTTTATCTCTTTCAAGTTCTCCTCCCTCCTCACATGATCCAAGTTTTTGAATTTCGAGGGGGTGTGGTCCCTACCACATGTTTTTGATATATAAAAGCATCTGGGGATCTATGGACAAGAAGAGATGCAGCAGAAACTTGCTGACACATCTGTGTGACACACTTTAACGAACAGATTTCAAAAACCCGCCCTCTTTTTCTCAAAGTAAAAGATCTTGGACTTTTTTCCAATCACTCATCTATCTCTCCTCCCTTTAAACTTTTCAACCGCTCTTATCTTCTTTTCCCCCACTTAACACTTGAAACTCCTTTATAAATGTGAACACTTTCAGAAACTAAAAAGTCAAATCAAAAATGAATATTTTGGAAAAAGTCAAGGACAGCGTCAACAGTGCCTATGATGCGGTCACAGGAGCCGCCGTTGGAGCAAAGGATGAGGTTGTTGGAACTGTGAATTTTATTGGATTTGGATTTTGCCTAGATTTTTAAGACCTAAAACAGTTGAAATCTAGATTCAAGTTGTGTTTCTAAGCCCCTGGGTTTCTGAGACTCATAAACGCCGCAAACACTCTAATAGAAGCTCACTCTATCCACCAACTTTGAGCTTATATATCTCGGTTCCTGTAAGAGATATAAAAAAGATGTCAACTGACAACAATTTTATCATATTATCATCTATATTTTATCAGTTGACAAAAATTTAATATCTTTCACGGGAACCGAGATAATGGAACGCAAAGTGTACGGATGGGCTTCTAAGGGCTTCTATTACAGTAGTTGCACTCTGACTGTCAACTTTAGGCCAATTTATCTTGTTTCCTGGGTAAGATATTGAAAATTTGTTAACTGGTAAAATGTTCATCATAATATTACCAATATTTTATCAGTTAACAAATTTTTTATATCTTGCATAGGAACTGAGATAATTGAGCTCAAAGTGAACAATTTAATAGGAATTGGAAATGCAGTTTTTTTTTAAATCTAACCCAATTATTTTCCAGGTCAGTAACGCCTACGATACTGCCACAGACAAAGCTGTAGCTGCTAAGGATGGAGTTGTTGGAGCTGTGAGTAACCCTAAGCAATACCTAGGTTTTGATTATACAAAATTCGAATTTCTAGGTCAGCGATACCTATGATGCCGCCACAGACAAAGCCGTTGCTGCCAAGGATGGAGTTGTTGGAGCGGTAAGTCCACTATCCATCTTATCCTCTTCTACCTTCCTCTATTTTCAGGTCAATACCGCTGGAGACAAAGTTGTTGGAGCCTACGAGGGCACCAAACAATACGTGTCCGATACAGTTGTGGCTGCTGGCGACTACGCGTCTGACGCCGGAAAGAAGGTCGGAGAGATCGAGGATCATATCATGGAGAGAACTCAGAATGCATTCCACGCCGCGGAAGATACTGCTGCGAGTGCTGGACACAAAGTCGCTGATACGTTAACCTCGATCAAGGACTCTATTGTTGGAGATAACACTCATAAGACTGGCGAGGCACTCAATGAGGATGCCAAGGAGAATATGGATGCTGCTAAGGAGCACGCTTCGGATGCAGCTGACACAGCTAAGGAAGGAGTTAAAGACACTGCTTCTGCTATCAACAATGCATTTGAATCGCTGACTGAATCCGTCGCTGACGATTCTGCTCATAAGACTGGAGTTGCTTTCAGTGATGGCGCTAAGAAGGAAGAGGCTAAAGAACATGTTGAATCAGCAAAGGATGCTGCTTCAGACGCTGCTATCGAAGTTAAGCACGATGTCAAGGATACTGCTTCGGCTATTAATAACGCATTCGATTCTATGAAGAATGATGATGTGGCTCCACAGCAGAAGGAAGAAGAAGCTAAAGAGGAAGTGAAGGAGGAGGCCAAAGGATACCTCGAGTCTGCCAAGGAGACTGCTGGTGATGCTGTTGAGACTGTCAAGGAGCAAGCTTCGAATGCAGGAAGCGCAATCACCAATGTTATCAGCTCACTCGCCGAATCTATCACTGGTGATACCACTCACAAAACTGGAGAAGCTTTCAATGATGCTAAAAAAGAGGCAGCAGAATTCTCTGAATCAGTCAAAGGGCACGCTGAAACTGCCCAAGAACATGCATCCAATGCTGGAAGCACACTTTCTAACGTGCTCACTTCACTGAAAGAATCCATCGTTGGAGACACTACTCATAAAACAGGAGAGGTTCTGCAGGATGAGACCGAGGCTCTACAAAGCAATGTGGATGAGAAGTACACGGCTGTGAATGTTGCGCCACTTGGAGATGCTGGAAAAGAGAAAGTAGAGGAAATCATGCATGGAGACGCTCCTTCATACGCAGAAGCTGTCAAAGAACATCTCGATGAGACTGCTGACTCAGCCAAAGAGAAGGCGGAAGAGACCGGAAGTAAGGTTTCTGATGCACTGACCTCGGTGGCCCAATCAATCTCTGATGACACCACTCACAAGACAGGTGGAGCTTTGAATGAGGCAGCTGACACAGCCAAAGATACTTTGGAATCTGCCAAGAACAAGGCTTCGGATGTTGTCGACTCGGTAAAAGAAAGGGCTAGTGAGGGTACCAATTCTGTCGAGGAGCAGTTTGTCTTCGGAAAAGAAGCTGCAAAGGAGAAGGCAGAAGAAGTTGTGGATACTGCAAAAGAAGCCGTTGCTTCGTCCGACACTCCATTTACTGACGATATTGCTCATCAAACAGGAGCCGCTCTCAATGCGGATAGAGCCACTGCAGCGGAGAAGGAAGTCGATGAGAATCTCCAAAAGAACATTGACGTCGCAAAGGAGACAGTTGTAACATTTGCCAATGCTGCCGCTGAGAATGCAGAGGCATCTGCAGAAGACGTCCAAAAAAATGTGGAAGAGGCTGAAGGTAAACTGTCTTCTGCTCTCCACTCAATCACTGATTCAATTACGGGAGATTCGGCTCACAAGACTGGAGAAGCATTGAATGAGGACTCTCTTCAGGATAAGGGTGCTTCATACGCCGAAGTAGTGAAAGAGAATGCTGAGGCTGCTGCTGACACCACCAAGGAAGGAGCTCAGGAAGCTGGAAATAAAATTGGTGAGGCATTCGAAGCAATGAAGAATTCGTCTGTTGGTGAAGCTGTTGGAGATGCTGTGGAAGCAACCAAGGAAAAGGCATCAGATGTTATGGAAGCAACTAATGAAAAAGCAAAGGATGCTGCTGACGCTGCCAAAGAAGCTGTCTCACCATCAGCTGCGCCATACAGCGATGATATTGCTCATAAGACTGGAGAAGCTCTCAATGATGATAGCAGTGTTGTGAAGGAGAAGGCTGACGATTTTGTCGACGTTGCCAAGGAGATTTCTAGCGACGTATCGGAGAAGGCTGAAGAGAAGAAGGATCAGGTCAAGGAGATGGCTGCTCAGGTTATCGACTCGTTCACTGCTCATGCTTCGGATGCCAAGAAGGAGGAGTAAATGATAATCTTGTAAATATAAAAACTTTTTTGACTGTAAATACCGTATTTGGGTAGCTTTACTACTTCTCGCATGACATCTTATAGTTTTTTCTTTTACCTTGTAAATAAATTGACAACGAAAATCATTGGAATATCTTTAAAGGAGGCCAGACATCAAAAAAAAAGTTTTCCTGATATTTTGCATAGAGAGCCCCTATGAGGGGTTGAACTCATGACAGGCAGCTCAGGGGTACAGCGTCGATACCGGCTGAGCTACAGGGGCACGAAGGCGCCTGCCGACCGATGACCTACATAAGCGCGGCGCGATTTCGTCCCCCGAACTTTCCCCCGAAATTTTTACTGTCTCGCCTCCTTTAAAATAAAAAAAAACGAAATTTTGATAAATTTCTTTGGAAAATTCAAAAAACTCAAAAATCCTGAAAATTGAGAAAATTTGAGTTTTAGACTGTTCCTGAAAATTCTGAAAAAAAGTGGGAAATCCCAAGGACTTCTGAAAATCGAAAAAATTGGAATTTCTGAAAATTCTACAAACTTGGGAAATTCCGAAATTTTTGGACAATTTTCAACATTTTTCCGAAAATTCTAGAATTCTAAAAATCTTGAAAAACGAAAAATTATGTAACTTCCGATAGCCCCAGAAACTCAAAAATTACGAAAAAAAGTTCGGATAAGTTCAAAACATAAAATCCTATGAATTCTGAAAAACTCAAAAAAAAGTTCCGAAAAATGAAAACATTTGAAAATTCGGATTAAACCCGGTATTTTCTAAAAATTCTAAACATTTCGGAAGTTCAAAAACTTGGGAGATTCTGAAAATTCGTATAATTTCTAAAGTCCCAGAAATTCTAAAAAAGCAGAAAATACCAGCAATTTTCTATATCGAAAACATGGGAATTTCGATAACTTCTGAAAGTTCCGAAAAAATGGAAAGTTCGTATATTCCCAAAACCTCAAAAAAATTCTGAAAATTCTAAAGTTTCTGAAAATCCCAGACTCCAAAACTTTAATCCACAAGTTACAAGAATTTAAAAATTACGAAAAAAAAACAGAAGTCAAATTTTCTGAAACTCCGATTTTCCGATTTCCTGAATCGCGGAATATTTTGTGGCCATATTGGTTGACCCTCTAGACATCTTTAATCCCAAAGTCATAAAATCCAAGTCCAACTTCCTCATTATTGTTTTCATTCTGAAACTGCCCAGACACCCATTCAAACCTACCCCTCATAAAGTTTGCACCCAGGTTTTCCCTGAAAAATCCAAAATGTTCAAAAACCAATCCGATTTAGATCATGAACCAAAACAGGACGGATATATCACATCATACCAAAATTCTCCCTTACCATGGCAGAATAAAAAATGACGAAAAAATACAGAGACTTCTCATGCATTATTTCCACCCGGTACCTTTAAACATGTAGTAGAAGGGCCTTCACACTGTCAAATTTGATCTTATTTTTCTTGGCTCTTTAGCATGATATCTAAAATGTGCTATTTGATAATAAAGTTTTGTGCTAGTCCAAGGAAGGGACATAGTTTGCCACCAATATCTAAGAAAAAGCGAGCAGACACTTCGGGTACTTCCCGTGTTAGTCTTATAAAATCACTAAAACTTGAATCGTTCTGAAAAATACTTTTTATTTAGCTAACAGTTTTGAGCCTTTATCTTGGTTCCTGTTGAAGCTATCAAGAACTATTCAACTGATAAAATATTTATTATGATATCACCAGCATTTTATCAGTTGACGCATTTTTGATCTCTTACAGAAACCGAGATGACTGAGCCCAGGCTTGTCAATGTGGAAGGCCTTCTACGACAGACTTTAGGGTATGTTTTAAATCTTCAAGCTTGATTAATTATTTTGAATATCTATTAATCAGAAGCTCCATCAAATCCGTAAAGTTCTGATAATCGCATTTTCTCGAACCAGTTGTATTTTCACAGTTTTCCAATTTATGGTGTCATATCTATTGCCCTCTTCTGGTTCTGCCATCATCACCCTCTCTAATAATATCATCCGATTATGCAAAAACTGTTCTTTTAAGGGGCGGGGGGGGGGGGCTTTTTTCCTATAACTTGTCTCGTGGTTGCACATATTTTCAGAATTCACTCGACTCTTTTTTATTTACAGTTCAGTTAACTTTTGTGCTATTCCAAAATGGGAAACAACCGATCGCTGATGAGTGAAGAGGAGGTCAAGGAAATTATGGATGAGACCGATTGTGAGTGTTCTTTTGGAAGATTTTTAAAATTCACATTTTTTCAGTCAACAGAAATCAGATCATTCGTCTTCACAGCAGATTCCAGTCGCTCGACAAGAAAGGTTTATTCACATTGACTTATGGCCTAACTTTCTTAATTTTCTAGGCCAAGGATATCTATCCCGCGAGGACTTCCAGAATGTTCCAGAGCTGGCTGTGAATCCCTTGGGTGATAGAATCGTCGACGCGTTCTTTTCCTTGGATTCGTCGTCGTTTGGATATAAGTTAGCAAAAAATGAGGAGCAGAAATTGAATTTCCGTCAGTTTGTGAGGATTCTAGCGCATTTTCAACCAATGTCAAAAGTCAAGAAGAATAGTTTGAATTCCAGAAGAGACAAGTTGCTATGTAAGTCTGTTTTGGTGATATAACAAAGAACCATATTTGGGGGGTAGGTGAAAAAAAGGTACATGTCCTGAAGGATTCATCTAGGTTACTTTATCAGAAAATCTCATGAAAAAGCTACCTACAGTTATCACTCAAATAGTATGTCTCCAAACTGTTACTTAGAAGCCAATTTATCTCGGTTCCTGTGCAAGATATCAAAAATCAGTCAACTCATAAAAAGTTTCTGATTTTCTGATAAACAATTTATCAGTTGACAACTTTTTGATATCTTTTTATAGGAACCGAGATAAATTGGCTCAAAGTTGAAAGTTAGTGGGCCCTTCAATTAGAGGCTTTACAGTAATTTGGACGTACCCCCTGAGAAAGCTACACTATCAGACTACGTACCTCTAAAATCAGTGTATCCCGAAATATGAACCCCCGACAAAAAATCAAATTTTCAGTTGCCTTCAAAATGTACGACCTGAACAAAAACAATTACATCACTCGCGAAGAGTTCAAAACCATTTTGAACAGTATGGTTGGCGCCAATATTACACCGGATCAGTTGGAAAAGATTGCTGATCGAACAATGAAAGAGGCAGATGCCGATAACGATGGTCGCATTTCGTTTGAAGACTTTTGTAGAGCAATGGAGAAGACGGATATTGAGGAGAAGATGTCGATTCGATTCATGAATTGATAAATGATGCGGCTAGAAAAATTATAAACGGATAGTATTGCTTTTTTCTGTACATAAATTTCAAAGTTTGTATTCTTGAATAAACAGATGTGTTGTGTCGGAAGTTTTGTATTCCTTGAATTGCATTGAAACTTCTTTTGGGTATTGTGATAGAATCTGACCAATATAAAAAAGAAGGGCTTCACGTGTCAAGTTTGAGCTCATCATCGGTTTCCTGTGTCAGAGATATTCAGAGGCTCAGGATCCAAGAGTTCATCGAAAAAGGATATATCGAAGAGACATTAATTTCTTACAATTAGGGTCCACCCTGCTGAAAGCGAGCAAGATTATTTTTGAAATGGGTAGTCCGAGGTGTATTAAAAACGAAATACGATAAATCATGCATAAAAATTCCCGTACAGCAAAAAAAAAGCAAAATTTTTTCATATGATAATTTGTTTATTAAAGGAGGCGAGACAGCGAAATTTTCGGGGGACAGTTCGAGGGACGAAATCGCGCCGCGCTTATGTAGACCATCGGTCGTCAGGCGCCTTCGCGCCCCCGTAGCTCAGCCGGTAGCAGCGCTGTACCCCTGAGCTGCCTGTCATGAGTTCAACCCCTCATGGGGGTTCTTAATGCAAAATATCAGGAAAACTTTTTTTTGGTGTCTGGCCTCCTTTAAATTTTAGCATTAATGTACTGTAGATGAACGATAATTGAATAAATTAACATAGTGTTTATAGGTTAATTACACGTTAAAATTTTGCAAAGTGGGAAATTCGAGACAAACATTATAATTAAAACGTGCTTTAATCACTAATTGATAATTACCGTAAAACCTCTAATAGAACGACGCCC